TGCATCCATTTTCTTGTCTTTCAAACGTACAAAGCACATTCCCAGCGTAATGAGATTTGTTTGAAGAACATGTTGGTAGCAAATTACAGTATACTCGGTAGATCGTTGGAACGTCTTCCTTACTGGTCGCATAATGAAAGGTCTGCTTATGCTGGTCGATGGAAAAGTATCTCATTAATGACCGTCGATCCCGTTGGTATCCGCAGACATTTCTACCCGGATCGATCGTCGATAATCAAAGACAAACTTCAGTTCATACAAAGAGATAGCACGCTTTGAAATTAATCTGATTTTTATTCGTTAAACAAATTCAATTTTTTTTTTTTTCTATATATATTTTGGCCCATCTGTTATTCTTGAGTCACCACAAGATAGTGCTTTAGTCATTCTGTAACTAAGGGCTGTAATCACCCTCACCCCCCACCAGACTCGTTTTAAAGAACGCAAACTATGCAAAAGCAATTTGATTATAATTTTTTAATCCTGTGAACTGATGGTTAGGTTTATTTTTTGTTTTTGAGATGCACCCAGAGACGTTAAAGTAATTATTTTCTTCGGTTTTATAGCGTTTTTTGTCCCGGAATGTACGAGGCGACCGTACGCGTACGATTTAATTTTTCTTCGGTGTAACGAGACGAAAAAAATAATCGAGCCCAACGATTGGGAGTAATTGAGGAGATCGTTCGATTCGGATCCGTCTGACTTGAAGCACCCACTCCGTTCCGCACGACGAAACGACCAACCGCAGACGTTCGGCCAAAGACATAAGTGCGCACTTAAACGTCTGAATCTACGTCTGTAAAAATGCAACCGTCGATTCTTTCTCGGGAAAGTGACCCCCGCGAAGCTTCGACGATGCAGAGTCGAGCAATTTGATCGAGCATTATCTCTCTTCTGGGTCGGATTCGGAGTCGAGCAAAATTCATATTTAACGCTTGTGTGGCCAACGAGATCCTTTTAATAAACAAGCTTCTTACTAAAATAAATAACAAAATAAAGAAATCATAATGAAGACAAAAATTTTAAGAAGAAAGTGTATGTAAGATATTTACCTTGAAAATTATTCTGCCGATGATTCTCCCGTTTTTACATACAATTACACACGTATTTATGAACTATGTTTCACTAGGACACTGTTTAAAAAACCACAAAACGACACGTTCTGTTCGTACAAAAAATTCAATAATAATTCGAACCGATTTATTCTTGAATAAATATTTAACTGTTCGATCGAATAAACGTCACGAATAAATCGTTATACGGTGATTTCATTCGCCATCTATTTTACGAATAATATATTGTTCGCTAGAAATAGAAATTTCAAATGCTTCGTATAATATTTTTACTATGATTTGTGCAATATTTAAAAAGATTCAATTGAACTTTGCAGGTGCATCGTTGCACTAGCAGATAAAAGTAACGTCATAGGAAGTTTTAATATTATTAAACAGTTCGAATACTTTGTCCACCGCTTTCTTCTATTGTTAACCATAGGAGAGGCGTGATCCGATCATTTTGCGTGACTCACACTGTATTGTATGGTGATCGTCAAGTGTTTATGTAATTGAAACGTTTAAAACACCGTGTAAAGTACTGATTTCTCGTGTGTACGTCCCACCATATACATTTTACGTGAATTTATTTGGAGAGATTGCATTAACATTTTATAAAATGAAATATTTACAGTATCACTATCAAAGTTGAAAATATTCAAATATAAAACTACTTTTATAAAACTACCCTTAAATCACAGTGTTAATACGCAAATTAAATACCCTAAAATTTTTATATATTTTAACCATTATTCCAAACGTAATTCTCTCCAATTGTCTGTTTTGTTACGAATTAGATAACGTCGGTAGTTTCGTTGTTCCAATTAATCGATAGCATTTCAAATATGCCGCGCTTTCTCTAATAACTCAAGCAGCCGCGAGCAATTTTTTATGACATAACGGAGTAGTGAAATTTTCGTTTAATTCGTTAATTTTGTTAATGTCGCGAAGCACACAGGATAGTTACGGCGCAATCTCTCGACGATCTTTCTCGATCGAACAGGTTGCTGGAGCCACTCGATCGGAATGCGTCGTTTAATCACGAGGGAGCATGTCCACCGGACAGTGGTCCATGATTATTTAGATGTTGGGTCCGCGAGACAAACAAGTGCTCTCGGCAGGCTTGGCGTACGTTGCATCCGTGGATACGCTTCCGCGTTTTCTTCTTCGCGTAACGGGAGCCGCGTGATTGATGATCAGATCGCGTGAAAGCTTTGCTACGAATTCACCGCGGTGCGCGCAGCCTTTTAAAACGGCCACTCGATACCGAGAAACCTGTAATTTCGATCGTGATCCGCGTTACTCGATTCCCCGTTTCTTTAACCCCGGAAGCGCACGGGTCACGCGGTCCCCTCTTCGTGATTAAAACGATACCAAATCGATCCACGTTCGCGCGACGCTCGGTTTTTTTAAACGATCCCGCGTCTGAGAGGCCATTTATGCATTCTCTGAAACGCGCTCTTGTCTGGCGGACGTCTATTGGGAAAACGATTTGCATACAGACGTCTTGATTCGCCTGAATTATATTCGTCCAGTCTGTGTATCAAAAGCGTGCCCGCCATTTCGTGGTTTGAATACTTATTCCGTGTTTAGTCCGATGAATTATGAAGTGCTCTTTTGAAATAGTAACATCAGTTAGATCCCAGTTTGAGATTAATAAATACTTGAGTAGAAAAATATAAGTTTAGATAGTGATTTTTTTTTTTTTAAATAAAAAGTTGCAATTTTTAAATCGTATAGTTAGAGAAACAGTATGTGAGAATAGATATTTTTCCGCATTCGGAGTAGCGTATCCCCTTAATTTACATGCAGCACGCCCATTCTGGGCGTTTCTCTTTCGGATGGAACGATAAAGCCGCTCTACCGTGACCAGTCGATGCCGGCAATTAACTTTTTGTCTTTGAAAATCAATGATTTCGCGACACGCCTCTCTGGAAAAACCGCCGCCTCTCTGGATCGCGAGAAACTCGTCCCGACTTGACCCTACGCGATCTTCCGAGACCTCGATTGACCCCCCACGCGTTTCTACATTATTTATAACTTATACGGGATGAGGCACTTGAGACCATCACTTCAAATAACGTCTAGCCTATTCACCGAATTAAACTAAAATATTCAACGTACGAACTATTTGTTCGGATTGTACGGATAAGCTGTACGGTTATAACGCTACCGTTCGAAACTAAATAAATTATTTCCACTTCAATTTTATGTGCATTTCTGCTCATTTATACTTTTGGTAGAATTGAAACACTCATTTATACTTGCAATCGAGCTTGTTTCACGACCTAATATTATGCAGTTCTGTATAGAATATTTGTTAATTTAAATGTTACAAAATTACTGTAACCTTGCAAAGTTGTGCAACAAAATCTAAGGTGCAACCCTAAGTGCAATTAATGTGATAAAAAGGCAGTGCTTAATTTTGTTATTACCCTATTGCGAGACTATGCAAAATTTCAAATCAGAAGAGTGAAAGCTATGACTAGACTGTGGATGTTTATGCATTTATGGGAAATTTTAATTTTCAAAAAACTGCAGAATGCACTTAATATGCAGAAATATAAGAAACACGTAAAATACGAATTATTGTATTTAGGGGTTGAGACAACCCTCAACAGAGCTCTCGTTTCATTAATTCTTTTATTAAAAATATGAATTTGCATACAGATTTGCAGTCTAGCTATGACTTTCTTACTGTCGAAGAAGAAAGAAAAGGTTACTATTGTGATAGTCGAGTAGTTAATGACTATAGTCAGCGGTAGGAAGCCACAGGCGTGCAACGAAGGGTGACTACAGTCGCCGTTAGTATCGAAAGGGTTAGGGGGGCAGTAATTGGGCCTTTAAATGCCGACATTAGTCGGTCAGCTGGCAATGATCGCCCAGTAATTCGGTCAAGCACGTTTTAAGGGGTGCAATATCCCCCCTCCATTCTCCTCAAACAAATTTATAAATAAAAATACAAATATTCCTTTCCTTAAATTAACCCTTTAAGTAGGACTCTCAATCTCAACTGAATTATTTTACTTAATGTTGATTTTTACCAAATTCGTAAATGGAGATCAACTTTCCTTTAAAGGAAAAACTAATGAACTAATGGAGGATTACATAAATTTTCAAATAACTACATTGATATATATTAAACAATTATTAGTTTAAACTTGTGGAAGGCCGCAGGGGCCCCAATAATTTAAGGGGGCCAGGCAGTCAGATCGAACCTTTTTGTAAGGGCTTATTAAAAGAAACGGTTAAATAACTTCCCTTTTAAACAATGTTTTGTTAAATACATCGCTCAAGTAGCTTTTCATTGTTCAAATTTTTATGAATGAGTAAAATTACTTTAAAAACATAATCAGGAAGTGATACTTTAGTTGCCCAAATTATTTTGGGCCTTTGGGACTAACTGTTCCGACACCTTCGACTTCCGGCGCACATTTTCATCAACCAAATTCTTATTTTTCACCACAACGTCACGAATCTTTGGTATTTAATTTTTGAAAGGTATTATTTTCGTAAAAAAACAAATAAAAATAAAATCGATTCTCTGACTGCCTGGTCCCCTTGGGGGTTAAAAATATTGAAAACCTAGATCCCCGACGAACAAACAAGCAATACTGTGCCGGTAGATTATTCAGGCGATGGTAAAATTTGCTCTTTTACCCAGTTCCTCTCCGGTCAGTAGTTAACATCATAGCAATAGCTCGTCCCTCATTCCCCGCACTGTTTTATCAACGAGTCGACCTCCGGTATTCCTCATCCCCGGCAATACTGGCTACGGGGTATCGGGCCAGAAGTATTCGAGACGCGTACGACGGTCGAAAAAAAAAAGATGACGACCCGTTCACTCGAGCGTTTCGTTCCCCGGGGAACGGACGATATATTCCGGGTAACAACCGGTTTCGTTTCACGGCAAGAAACTCACGTCGAAATTTCACTGGTTCTCCACAGCGCGAACGGGAGGGCGCCAGTGTCCAGCAAGCCGCCCCTGCCTCCTCAGCCACCCCGCGTCGGGGCGCTGAGCTCGAGACCGTCGACGGGCGCGTCGGCGGCGGCGGCGGCGGCGGCGGCGGCGGCGGCGTCTTCGTCGCGCCGACGCGCGGCCACGGACCTTGGAAATCCGGCGGCCATCGAGATGGCGAAAGCCCGTGCGATGCAGGCCGCCCAGGAGCGCCCGGTCGGCCTGCTCGAGACCGACCTCGACGAGGCCGTGCCGTCGACGACGACCACCGCCTCAGCGAACGCCGCCGCCGGCAAGAAGACCAGGAGCCTGCTCAATCTGAATCACACCTCGACCACCCCGCGACTCAGGCCAGAGCACGCCCTCCACGTACCCCAGTCGCCCGTCGGCGCTTCGCACAGGAGCCCCCAAGACGACGGCGCCGCGTCCACCATCAATCAACGGCCACACAAATCCATGGAGTTCCTCCTCGACAAGGAGAACCTGCATTTCGTCAAGGTGAGTACCTTTGTGCAACGAAACCTCCACCCTCGACCACTATGACCCGCAACTTTCTGGGCAAAGGATCGTTCGCGACCGGGTGTATCGCGTCCCCAGAGATTCGATAGTCGCGATGGGGGACTCCCAGGTCCCTCCCAAGGGAGACAATTTTTAGTCCATCGACGGATGGGTACGATCAGAGTCCAGTTAGCCACTCAGCATATGGTGACCAGTTTTAGTCACCGTGGTTTGCAAGCTTTATTTTACGTATTTTTCTGTACTGGGATAGTTCAAGGGTGATCGGGGGAATTTTATTTGAGACTCTTTTTGTCGTTAACGATGGGTTTGCGAGGGCTGGGAAAGGAGTGTTCCTCCCCGAGTGCCTTTGGGATGCATTTGGGTTAGGAGTATCGTGTAGCTTATGGGACACGAAATTAGAGTTTTGTTGGACTTTGATACGTCTCAGGAGGATAATTTTGAGATAGATCTACTGTACAATTAGTCGAGTGAAAATCTCTCCCCGTATTCGTTAAAATAGCATATCTTACATTTTGCAACACCCATATATTTAAACTTCTAACTTACAGTAATATACAATAGAATATTTATTTTACACACTTGCTAAGAGACACAATGATCATCCTAAATATTTTTAATTTTCATTAAATGAATATTTCATCAGACCCTCGCTCTTAATCCTTTGCACTCTGAGAGTCTTTATTAATATGAACTAGCAATACCAATTGCAATTTAGTGATGTGACTTTTAAAAATAAAAAAATATTTTTTTTCCCCACTAAAATGATTAAAGTTTTATTCATATATTTCCTAAATTCATAAATGAAACTCGAATTCAGCTATGCTACGTATTATGTTTGTCACCATAGTGGTGCCAGTAGAGTGCAAAGGAATAAAATGCACACAGTCATCGGAAACATCAACGTTTTAGAAAATAGAAGAAAAAAATAAGTTTCATCGCCAACCATCATGCGAGTGTTAAATAATTGCAGTAAAAAATATTCCCCTTTAATTTTCTAGTGATTATTTAAAGCCGAGTTTGTTCCTTGAACCATCGAGTGGTTTTTGGGCGCGTTTGAACCGGACGTAACGAGTCTCGAGAGATGGAGAAAAGAGTTTTTGTTCGGCAGTACTCGTCGCGATAGGGTTTCTTTGATCCATCCCCGGAGGATAATTTTGAATTAATTACAGTGTTTCTACCGATAGATCCGCGGTACAATTAGGTTGACTACCTAATGCCGAGTGCACACACGTAAAATCTCGCGTTTTAATTACCATTGTTCTTATTAATTTATTTACGATTCGAGTTTCGTTTTTATTCTCGATGATATTAATTACGACCGAGGACCTCGAATCATTCGATGCTTTTGGGTGCATTTAGACGAGCGTAATGCGTCTGGAGAAGAGTTTTATTCGGTAGATCTCAAAGAATTCTTTAATTCGCCTCCAGGAGGATATTTTTGAATTAATTATTGTAAGTATAATTATCACGGAACGTGTTTGTTTCTCTTCTACTCCATCTTTAATTGATTATTCTTCTCTTTATCGTTGCCTTCGTTTTTTATCTTCGATGATACTAGGGGAACTTTGTCGAAGGTCAGTTCCTCGAAATCTACAGTGCTCTTTATGAATCCAGACAAATGGGACTTATTTCCGTCGATAAGTCTTAGGAATCCCTTGATTAAATAGCGCCATGGGTTAAAAGTTTAAGAATCACTGATCTAGATAAAGATTCCTATGATCTCTGACGGATTAGGTGGATTAGCTACTGCTAGGAGCTATAATTTTCTCGAGCGATATCCACGATAAGAAATCCGTCTTTACGCTCCTGAATTGTGGTTTCACGACCAGTCGTTAAGTTAAATAAAAACAGTCGTAATGATAGTATCCGTGTGTAATATCGATCGTTAGATCTATATCTCTTCCGCAGCAACGATAACGATTCATCGATATACATAGCGATCGTCGCGACGTGCAATTTTTCACACGTTATTTACGTCGACGTCGCTAATCGCGCGTCGAGCGATTGTCAATTTAATTATGTTCGAATAATGAACGCTCTGTTAACAGTACTTCGCGATACATCGCGTTGAAGCGCTCGCGAGCAGAGTATTATTATTAAAAATGGTATCGATAAATTGCTGCTATGCAATACGATTCGAGATAACGTATCGAAGAGCGCGATAATGATTTTCGTCAGCTGCCTTTGAAAGTCTGCATAGTCTTCCCATAAATATAAAATCTATATACTTAAAAATTATAGAATAAAATTTTCCAATCGTACGTGATTTATTAAAAATTTATCGAAGAAACTTGCAACCGAGTTTCACGTTTCTACTGTTTTCATTGAAGATTCGAAAGGGCCCAAAGTGACCCGAACTGAGCAAATCGTTAAAATATCCCTTGCAAATTAGAAATCTACCACTGTTTTCTACGTCAAATAAATCTATTACGGAGACACGTTTTCCGCGAACGTTTCGTCGCTTTACAGATATCAATTGTTTTCAACTGGACATTTGTTTATCTACTATCGATCTACGAGCAAACAGGTTTATGTTTGCCCTGTCGTCGGTCTCGTGCGTTTAAATTCGCCGACCGGTCGTTAATTTCGAATTTCACCGGCAGAATTTATGGCGAGGCTATGCGATTCCGACGAAAACGCAGCGCCGCGGCGCGTTTAGCGGGCACTAATAGCGGAATAAATTATAAAGGATTCAGGGGGGGAAGCCGAATGAGGTCTTCATCGACGATACAGTATCCGATCGAACGTGTTGCTTTTCAGGTTTCTTTCTGTTCGTTTCGACGGTCGTACAAAGAGCGATTGTTCCGTGTTAAAATAAGACCGTTTCGGTTAAGGTCAGGCAATTTTGAAAGATAAAGTGCAGCGGGGGGAAAGTCACTTTGGAACATTGGTTCCTTTTAACGCGATCAATCGGCAGCTTCGCTTGAGCGACAGCTCCCGGGGACCATCCACGTTGTCGATTTCCCTTCTCAGGGATGTGTGAAATATATTTTCGTTTCCTCCGGTATGTCGAATCGAGATCGATAGAAGCTTCCGTACAGAGAACCAGATACGGAGAAAACTGCATTCGAATAACAGATAATCGATACGATTAACTTGCAACAATTTATTCGCGATTAAATTCGTATTTTGTTGTAAATTATTTTATTCTATTTTTTGGATGTTTATTATTTTATTGTAATTTTTTTTCAATTTTGTCCATCTCTCCTGGAAACGCCCCGAAGCACTTTTGTCCTTTGTATTGGCTCTTTCCGTAGATTTCTCCCTTTGCATCTTTCGGCGCATCCACACACACTTGCACACACACACGGTCGTTTTATTTCACGCTGTGCAACGAGCGGGAGAAATCAATTTCAGTTTCTTGCGGCCACCGCAATGGAAATTGTATTTTATGCGATTCCATTCACGGGCGACTTTAATTGACAGGGTCCGTTAAACCGCGCGATCGGTGTGAAACGGTCGCGGAATGGTCCTGAAATTAAATCAGTGGAACTCGTGCATGAGCACGTAGCGAAATACAGGGTGTCAATTTTATTCCATGCCACGATATGAGCCCATAAATCACGGAGACGCGTTGACTAATTTTCATTTGTAACTTTTGTCAGGTGTTTAATAATTTAAACTCGTGAAACCCACTCTCCTGTTCGTACACTATTACTTCTATTTACAGAGTAGTTTTTCTGTTAACATGCATACAACTATAACAACTATAAAACTTGATAAAGAAGTATTTATTAATAATACAAACAGTACCACAAATATCAACGACACGTGTTTTTTTCTTCGAGCGGTAACCCATCCTAAACTTGACCGCGCCCAATGCAGCTGCACTTCTTGATCAATCCAGAAACAACCCTTCCAACGTGCCATGATTACTGCTCACTAATACTTTAAATTTATTCACACTTAAACCCTCAAATATAGACTCATACCTGTCTCGAAAGCAACTTTTTTTTCATTTACAGTGAATCCACCAATATAGTGTACGAACACGAGTGGGAGTAACTGTATATCGTACATATCAAACACTTAAATTTTTATCGTGATTCTGAAATCGAGAAACGTGAAAATAAAATTGACCAACGTTTATGCGATGTAATTAAACGTACAAGGTGATCACACGATGAACTTATTGCATAATTGAAACGGGTATAAAGTTCAGAAAGTGTCTCGCGCGTAACGGTATGCGAGATCGAGCTCGATTATTCTTATGACACTTCTAATTTTAATTTCAACCTACTAAACATTTTAATTTTAACCTCCATCCCCATTTCTCAACAGTTGTGCAAGTATAACAATCGTGCATACGGTGCGGCGCGTTAATTAGTGCAAGATTCTCGATCGTACAGCGTATTTCTTTTAGTTGGAATTTAGATTTGCTTGCGTCCGACTGGTGCGTTCGAGCTAGGTCTGACTATGAACGAGTACAGTTCTACTTGTATTCACAAATACGCGTTCGCTCATGTTTAAAAGAAAACCTAACCCCGCATCGGCGAGAATCCATGAATCTCTAATTAAAAGTGTTACGTATTTTCAATGGCAATATTAGCAATTCCAACAATATCGTTATCAGTAAAATGGCGGAATTAAATACTTAAGGGCTTGAAATTGAAACGTATCTGATCGGATTAAAACGAATAATGCAATATAAAACGATTAAATAAAGATAAAAAATATTCCGCTCTTCCATAAATGCATTCATTCATGCCAACGCGTTGACCGTTGAATTCAATCTTCGGGATATCAAAAATAAAAATAACGCTGCAATTAAATTCCACATACAAATTATAAAACAACGTTAAAATCCAACTACGTATCTTGCAAATTAACAGCTGTACGTTTCATATATACAACACGATAATTCAGAATAATATTTCGGAATTCGTCGCCCACACAATGAAGCTCCTTTCATTTCCACGAAATTGCAACGTAATTGTTACGGTTATTAAACCGTCGAAGTCCGATCGACCGAACGTATA